TTCTGTCTGTTCTTAGGAAGGTCGGAAAAATGTTTAAGCAATGTTTTTTTTTTTTTTTTTAAACAATTATATTGGGGCGATGCCCGTTACACAAAAAGTGTATCTTTCCCTTTTCCACCAATATCCGTTTCCACCAAATAAAATTATTTACCATGTTTTTATAAAAACAATTGTACCTATACCTACTACTATATTCTACGATTGAAAAAAAAAATATCAACCAATTGTATATATAATTAGATACAATATATACATAACTAAATACACTAATATATCATTTTTTTCAATCCAGCATTAGTATTTTAAATAAATGTATTACTGTATTAAAGATTTTAATATAAGCATATAGTATACAAATTATTTTGGTAAATTAACCGTGGTTTAATTATAGGTAGMTCTCATTTGGTGGTAACGGAWATTAGTGGAAAAGGGAAAGATACACCTTTGGTGGAAACGGGTATTGGTGGAAAAGGGAAGGTTCTATACTTTTTGGTGGAAACGTGTTACGCCCTTATATTGATAGCATTAAAGATGATTGTCTGCGGTACAAAATGGGTACGTGAATGATAATCTAGTTTTGGTTCACGTAATAGAAAGAAAAAACATCAACTATAGAGCATTAAATAATTTTAGTGATGTGATGAGGTAAGAATATATTCATCATAGTGTAATCAATATGTATACAGTATAGAATACCAACTTGACTCTTATAAATATTTTCTTTGTATATGATTTTCATAACTGATACTGATGAATGATAATTAATCCTTAATCAAAATATTACATACTTGCAAAAAATTAATTTAGTATTTATTATTTTTGTAAAATCTACTAATTATTGAATAAGGAGTAACATACTTTTTATACATTTGYTCAGAGAATTTACCGTATAGTCAGTATACATTCATCCTTCTCAAATGATGCGTTTGATTTATATTTATAATATATTTTCATTCAATACCGATTATACAATTAAACGGCACTTAATAAGTATAGTGAAAGCAATAAATAAATAATTATGATCTAGGCGTATGAAAATATGATGGTAGGTAGGTATGTAGGATATACATGTCAAAATATTAAGGTAAGTGGACAATTTTTTTTCCAAAAATCCTAAATTTCTAACCAGATTTTTGAGTAAATTATAACTATTTGTCATCGTATTWTGGATGCATATATAACGGATAATAACTTAAATCTTAATACTTATATAGTCTGCAGCATGAGAATTTTCCTGCAGTAAAAAGTGTATTGATTATCGTGACATTAAAATAGGTACAGCAAGTTGTACAACAAATTACAACAAATTGTACAATAAGTACAACAAATATTTTATCGTAATGGTAATTTATACGTATAGCCGTATAGGTACTTGGCTACTTGCTAAAATGGAAACAATAAAAACGCATTTAGAGTAGACTATATGATATTATAATACTATTTCTTTGATTATTGGTTATCATATTATTTATAAAATAGGTATATATATATATAGAGAGAGAGAGAGATAAATCGTATATACCTTGCATTGTAATCGATCTTCGAGCGACCCGTTTGCCATAAATTGATATATCAAACAAGATCCAGTCAAATGGAAGCAAAACCCGTACATGGACAATACGTTATCGTGTTTAACTGCGTTCAGATACATAATTTCTTTCGACGGATTCTGCAAAAGCCTGTCACCCAAAGTGTGCATGTTTACTACTTTTTCAGCTACTCCCTATAAAGTGTGAAATAAAGATACGAAATCAACATTTAAGGCATAACCCATTTTATGGTAATATAATGTCATCACGCCAACCTCGCCTTTCAGTCTTTTGATCGCTACGTCCGTGTGCCTCCAATTGCCTTTGTACACCACCCCGAAGCCACCCTCGCCAAGCACGCGGTTCTGGTTCCAGTTGTCAGTGGCCAACACGAGTTCTTCATATTGAATACGTTGCATGAAAGTTTCCTCGGAATCTTTGCTGTCATTGTTGACGTGATGCATGATGGTCATCAGATCGCAAGAATYGCATTGGATGTTGCGTATGTACAACCAAACAGTCCTGTGCAAGTTAAAATAAACGGACAGCAGGCAAACGAATGAAACGAAACTCAAGGCGACAAAGGAGTAAAAATAATCAATTTTCCATTTTTTACAAAGTTCGTATTCATCCATGTTGATAACCGGAACCGAGGAAGACGTGCAAGTGATTTTCTTCATATCTCCGATCTGCAAATTCAATGAACCGATGAATTACCGCGATTATCTGCTCACTGCAGTAATTTTATATTATGAGTATGAATTCGGACCTTTGATTTATATTTTTGTAAGGTGTTTAACAAATCGCATTCACATGGCCACGGGTTTCCTGATAACATTATGACGTCTAGACTTTGCAATAATGTCAATGCGTTACCGTTTAGGGTTGTTAGTTTGTTATTATCGGCAAACACAACCTTCRGAAATAATTTAAAATAACAACATTATATTAGAAAATATACATTGTTCGAGTGTTAAACATAATATATATTATTTTTAACATATAATTCAAAATCGTAATAGTATTATAGTTTAATTGAAATTAAATAAACTATAAGCTGCAAGCTGCAGGTGTATATTATAGACTCTATATAGTAGACCTAGATAGTTACACGTTATTATAGAATACTAACTGCATGCATGTAGGTTAATCAAATTTTGATTGGAAATTATTTCTTAGGACGTATGGCAATAAAGCCGTGCAAAATATAAATACGTTCAGTAAATAATTGTTTTACTCATTGGTATTATGATTTTGATTAATATTTTTCTAAAATTGAAAACTTATTGACCTTGCAGATGATGGAAACAATATAATATTCATGTTATGCATAAATACAACGTATACTAAATTATTATTATTTTTCTCACTTTTAAACTTCTAGGTAAAAGATTGGCATCCAATGTCTTTATACTATTATTACTGATATCCAATAAAGCGATACGAAAACTTGTTAAATTAGGTAAGACTTCAATCAAATTGTCTCTCAAAATTAAACTAGTGGACGACGAAGTTGTGTTTAAATCAGTAATAATCGCAGAAGGGTCAATTAGGTTACTTTTTGAACAGTCAATCTTGGATGTATTGTGTTTCGG